GTGGAGCTTGAGGTTCCCGCAGGCCTATGTCCCAAACACAGCAGTCTGACAAAGGAGATCACAATTTCCTTCAGTAACCCTTCACTGCTCCTTGTGATCAGTCAGAGTCACCGGGAGCCAATGTGAGGCCTCCACACAGCAACGCAGGAATTGCCAGACTAGATCAAAATGATGATCCATTCTGTGATCAGTAGCAGGCGCTTCACAGGCAGGTGCAGGAGACCCTGCTGAGGGCATGGGATAACCTACCCCCGGGAAAATTTCCTCTGGACTCCCAAGTCAGAGGCTGGCAGGACGGTTTATGCCCCCCCTCCCCTACACGGTTGGTTTGTTTAGGGACAGCTGTTTTAACCCCTCTATTCACTGTGTGTCCAATCCCTATTTGAATCCTGCTAAACTTTGAGCCACAAGTCTATCCAGTGACAGTGCATTCCATGGGCTGGCTGTCCATTAGCTTTAAACGTATTTCCTTTGATCAGCTCTGAATTTGCCACCACTTCATTCCAATGGATGCCACTTGTTTTAGGAGTAAAGGTGGGGATAAGCTCCTGATCTACCTCCTCTGAGCCACTGAGGGCTGCTTCCGTCTCTCACTTCCCCTTTATTTCTGCAATATCATTTCTGAGGTGGAGGGACGAGCTGTGAACATAGTATCAGAGGCATCCTCGTGGCTCCCACAACTTCACTCTTCTGGCACAACAAACCTTTCTACAACCAAGGTAAACCTTGTCAGTGTGAAAAACTCTCTTCTCTTTTGCTCCAAGTACAAGGGGTCACTCTTTGACCTGCCTTCTCTAACATAAACAGAGAGGGCTAGAAAGACTAGTTAAACAAATTCCAAACAAAATCCTCCACAGCACACTAGGGCTTTTAGTTTCATGAATGAGCCATGAGACAGCACTGCTAGACTACAGGTGCAATGCCCTGGGTGCTCTAGGACTGGGACCCCCATGGAGAAAAATTAATGGGTTCTTCCCCCTCCCACAAGCCTCTTGCTCACCATATCCCTGCTGATCAACTCCTCCTTCTCCTCCCCCCCAAGCCAGGGCTGTCCCTAGCAGGGTCTGGGGCAACCCCCTCCACTACACCAGGTGCAGGACCCAGAGCAACATCCCTCTCTGCTCCTGGCTCTGCCCCCACCCTCTTCCATTTCCCCAAGCCCCACCCCCACATTTCCCCACAGCACCCATTGCCCAAAGTACCCTCACAATGTAAGCTGGGAATTACCAGGGTGGGAGGAGGGCTGGCATGTGGCAGCAGCAGGGGTTAGGTTCCTCCCACACTCACTGGTGGCAGGACCTGAAGCAACTTGGCAGCTTGTTCCAATGCTCATTTCCCAGCCTGCTGTGCTCCGCTTCACCTCAGCAGCAGGAAGGGGAGCAAGCTGGGCACTCCGCTTCCCGCTGCCATGGTGAAGAGGAGGGGAGCAGGCTGGGAGATTAACAACAGAGCAAACTGACTGGTCGCTTTGGCTCCCGCCGCCCCGGTAAGCGCAGGGGCAGGAGGGAGCCCAACCCTTGCTGCTGCGCCACACCAGGTCCTCCACAAATCCCCCACGTCACCTTGGGACCCGTGGGTCCCATCTATAAAATGGTTAAGGGGGCTGCCGCAAGGCCCCCCAAAGTGCAGGGTTTGCAGCTGCTCCAAATCATCTTACAGACAGGATGGCTCTGCTCCCAGCACCTTCTGCCTGCCTTGAATTGATGTTTTCTGGGATGCAGGAGGCTCTGGGAGGGTGGGGAAAGAGCAGGAAT